TAAATACATATATATATATATATACATATATATATATATATATATATACATATATATATATACATATATATATATATTTTTATTTATGTATATATATATACGTATATATATATATATATATATGTATTTATGTATATGTATATATACGTATATATATATTTATGTTTATATAAATATATATTTTTTTTATATATACATAAGGTGTACTTAGCTATACCCTTGTATAGATATCTAATATATATGTATGCATATATATATAAATATACATATACATATATATATATATTTATACAGCTATTGATGTGAGAGGTGTATGTACACCTCAGTTTTCTAATCAATCAAGTCTGCCTGCATCCTCCCCGTCTGATGCAGCAGCAGAGCAGCAGCAGTAGCAAGAGCAGCAACCGGGTAGCAGCAGCAGCAACAGCAGCAGGAAGAGCAGCAGCAAAAGCAATTCATTAATGGCTGCTACAGAGAAGAACGCATAATTCGAGAGCAAACAAAAGCAGCGAAAGGAGAAAATAAGCTGTAGCAGTTTTGCTGCTATTGACGCGTTTGCGGTGTCTATGCAGGTTGCTGCTGCTACTGCTGCTGCTGCTGCGCTGCAGTGCATGCATCCAGCAGCTGCCCTTGGGGTGCTGCATATAATGAAATGAGATTATATAAAAATAATTAAAACACGAAAACCAGAAAAACAAATTCATTTGCTGCTGTTCCTGCTGCTGCTGCTGCTCTAGGAGGCCCCTCAGCTACCGTCGGTCTGCAGCAGCAGCAGCAGCCGCAGCAGCTGCAGCAGCAGAGTGCTGCCAGCGCTACTTCTATATCTCGTTTTCTTTCTTTTGGAGGCCTTTTAGGGCTCCTATTTAGCGCCCCAAAGCAAACGCAGCAGCAGGAGCGAGAACGCTAGCAGCAGCTGCAGCAGCAGCAGCAACAACAGCAGCTGTCGGCTGCCGCAGCAGCAGCAGCAGCAGCAGCAGCTCACCCTATTCATAGGCAGCACGCTATATTTTACTTTCTTTCAGCTCTCGTGCTTCAAATTGAGTGGCCCCCGCCTGGGGGGACAGGTCCCAGCGCTCTAGGGTTTAGGGTTTAGGGTTTAGTGTTTAGGGTTTAGGGTTTAGGGTTTGTGAGCGCTGTGCATGTCTGACTTTTCTTCTTCCCTTCGGCATTCCATTGAACTCTTCGCGAGTAAACAGCAACAAAGCAGCGGGAGGAACTTCATCAAAAAGCATCAGCAGCAACTGCAGCAGCAGCAGCAACTGCAGCAGCAGCAGCAACTGCAGCAGCAGCAGCAGCAGCAGCAGAAGTTTCACCATCTGTTTTTCCTGTCGAGTGAATAATCCTGAGCTGCAAATTGCGCGGCAGCATCTATCACCAGCAGCATCAGCAGCAGCAGCAGCAACAGCATCAGCAGCAGCAGCAGCAGCAGCAGCAGCAACAGCAGCAGCAGCAGCAGCAGCAGCAGCAGCAGC